ATATAGATAGATATATATAGATATAGATATATATAGATATATATATAGATATAGATGGATATATAGATATATATAGATATATATATAGATATAGATATATATATATAGATATATAGATATATATAGATAGATATAGATATATAGATATAGATATATATATATATATAGATAGATTGATAGATATAGATAGATATATAGATAGATATAGTCAAAGTAATAAGACCTTAGTGTAAAATGCTGTTAGTTTATGTACAAATACCACTCTGTAAAAATAGAAGTACTGATAAACAGTAGAAATACTGCTCTAGTAAATGTCCTTCAGTACTTGTCAGTATAATCAGTAAAGTGTGAAGTCTTCAAACTGTGACTGTTGTACTATTCTACCATTAGAGTATTATGACTCATGTATCATTGTAAAAGCAGTATTTAACTGTTGAAGTAACTCTTAATTAGCAACAAGTTGTTTTAAGTTGTTACATCTGATGAATCAGCAGCTTCATTGAACTTAAACTTAATTAAAATTCAATCAATAGAAATCAGAGCCGAGCGATTCATTATTGATGTTAGTTATTTGTGTTCCGAGACATTAAACTGAATGTTTTACATTTTTAAAAGATCTGCAGATTAAAAAAAGATAATTAATCTTTAGTTGACTTTAGTTGAAGCGCTAAAAACACAATTAGAAGAAAAATAAAAACAGTACAACAGGAAAACTGCAATTTGTTCAACTTTATTGATAAAAACCCTCGTCACAGAGCAATGAGTTGACCAACGACTTGTATGAGAGCTTTGAGTTTCATCTTCAGTGCAAAAGGAGAACAGTGTTGATGAAGAACTAACGGCTCTCTCGTCTAAAAACAAACAGAATAAAACAAAGTCGGGCGGTCGTTTCCTTTTTTCCTACTTTTGTGTGTGTGTGTATATATATATATATATATATATATATCTGAGCAGCACATGAACCAATCACTGACATGCATTAAATTATTATTATTTATTGTAAGTTGTCTCTTCAGTTGGCACATTCACAGCTCAAAGAGTCCTCAGCCTTCACCTGGTTCATTTTACTTTTATTTTGAAAAGCAGAGAAAGAAAAATAATCATCAAGAATTTAAAAAGCGTTTTAGGAGTAAAATGAAAATTTATGAACAAATTGCTGTTATTGGCTGATGAGAGAGGGGGGGTGTGGCCACATGAGAAAATCAAAGTTTATTCCAGCAGTGAGAGAGAAGAAGAAGAAGAAGAAGAAGAGGGTCACATGGCGTATTTCTGAGTCCAGTCCTGAGCCGTCTTGTTGTACCTGAAGGAAGATTAAAGGTGCAGGTGAGTCAATCAGCTGCTGTCAGGAGACCAGGGACGATGCCATGCCCGAGAACACAACACACACACTCAGTGCTGAAGGTTTTTACACACACACACACACGCACACACACGCGCACACACACACACACACACACACACACACACACACACACACACACACCAGGTTTATCTCTTCATTGTAATAAAACGCTCTGAAACATTCAGTAAACTCCGTCTGTATGATCTATTTTTTAATCTATATTAATTTTACTGATATTTTACTAATCTTTGGGATACTAATAATGAATTAGTTAATATATTCCATTTTAATACACTTTAAGCATACAAATATTATACAAGTATTTTTAATACTTTTACTCCATCTCAGAGGAAACTATTGTACTTTTTACAGCTTTAGTTACTTTACAGTTAAAGATTTTACATTCCATTTATAAAACTCAACACGTTGTTGAAGATGAATCAGAATCTTTTCCGTTTGTAAAATTTAAATAAATTTGAGGTAATAAAGAACGAGAACTTCTACTTCTGGTACTTTGAATACATTTTGCTGATACTTATGTACTTAAACTTATGAAAGAATTTGTGTGAAACACAGAAAGGCAAAATCCAGACAGGAAGTGATGAACGTTTAAAATGTTGTTGTGAATGAGGTCTGGTGGTGTTTTAGATGTATTAATACACAGACTGTGGTGCATTACCTCATAAACACACGTTTAAACATCACAACTGTCCCTCCAGCATTCACTGGGGCGGTTTGCAGCCGAGTGTGAAGCGGCGGGGATGAGAGTTAGCACCTCCAAATCTGAGGCCATGGTTCTCTGCCGGAAACCGGTGGATTGCTCCCTCCAGGTGGGGACGGAGTGCCTACCTCAAGCGAAGGAGTTCAAGTATCTCGGGGTCTTGTTCACGAGTGAGGGTAAGATGGAGCGGGAGATCGACAGATGGATCGGTGCAGCTGCAGCAGTAAAGCAGGCGTTGCACCGGACCGTCTTGGTGAAGAGGGAGCTGAGCCGGAAGGCAAAGCTCTCAATTTACCACTCGGTCTACGTTCCTACCCTCACCTATGGTCACGAACTCTGGGTCGTGACCGAAAGGACAAGGTCGCGGTTACAAGCGGCCGAAATGGGCTTCCTCCGTAGGGTGGCCGGGCTCAGCCTTAGAGATAGGGTAAGGAGCTCGGTCATCAGGAGGGAGCTTGGAGTCGAGCCGCTACTCCATCGCGTCGAAAAGGAGTCAGCTGAGGTGGTTCAGCATCTAATTAGGATGCCTCCTGAACGCCTCCCACTGTTTTCCAGGCACGTCCAACTGGGAAGAGACCCCGGGGAAGACCCAGAACACGCTGGAGAGATTACATCTCCCAGCTGGCCTGGGAACGCCTCGGGATCCCCCAGAATGAGCTGGAACATGTTGCCGGTGAGAGGGAGGTCTGGGTCGGCCTGCTTGACCTGCTGCCACCGCGACCCGACCCCGGATAAGCGGTGGAAAATGGATGGAACTGTCCCTTTAATGAAGTCTCTGTATTCTTATTAAACTGAAGTGTAGGAACGTGAAGGATTAATCATTAAAATAACTAAAACATGAAAGAGCAGCAGCTCAGACTCTGTATGTGGAGCCATGCTTTGAGTCAACGTGCTTCAAACCCAGCCTCGTGGAGCTGTAACAGGGCGGTCAGCTGAGCAGCTCTGCTCCAATCAGACGACAGCTGAGCAGCTCTGCTCCAATCAGACGACAGCTGAGCTCTTACCCTCTCACAGCATGGCATACTTCTCTGTCCACTCTCTGGCTAGTCTGCTATACCTGAGACAGACACTCTGGTTAAACACCTCCACACTCTGCTCTACTAACTCCTGAGGAGCTGCTACTTTAGGCTGGATGTAAGTTTACAGGTCCAGCTGAAAAACAACTGAGCATAAGATATTAAATACTTTATTATTATATACAGTCATCTCTCATCGGCTTAATGAAGATGGTTTCAGTACCTGCTGTATTTTAAACACGCATCTACAAAGCTTGACGTTTATAATTCAGCATTTTATATATAATATATATATATATATATTATATATAATGTTCATGTTAACTCAGTGTGTTAGTTTGTATTTGAACAGATATAAACTCACTTCACAGGGTCTGTTTTGTAGATGCGGGCGATCTCTGGCACTAGCGGGTCGTCAGGGTTCGGGTCACATAACAGAGAACAAATGGACAAAAGGACTGCAGAGAGAAAAAACAACATTTGAACAGTGAAATTAAATAACTTAAATTGAAATGAGTTCCACTCAGCGTTCTGTACACCGTCTTACCTTTAGAGATAGTTAATGCAGGAGACCACTGTGATCTCAATATATCCAAGCAGATGCTGCCGTTACTGTTAATATTTGGGTGATAAATTCTTGTTGTGAAGGCGACCTGAAGAGGAAGAAGAGGAAACAGAATCAGAGCGGCTTCTATAACAGTTTATTTTAGGACTCGATGGTTCGGATCAGGAAGCTAAACTCCAGTTTAAAGACACAAAGCAGATTTTGCTCAAGACAAACTGACGTCTAAGTTTCCTTCTGAAGTATCTTTCAGGTTTATTGAATCATCTCTTTCTACTGTGAATATGGTTGGTCGAGTGTAAACACCAGAGAGGACCGCTTTACAGAAAGTTAGAGTGGAACATAATGAGACGGAGAACCATGAATGAGTGAGACTCTCAGCTGGTTTACCAACAATAAATATTAACTTTAAACCAGGTGACAACCTCCAGTTCTTTAAAGTCAAAGCTTCATGTGTTAAAGCTGCATTCTCTCTAGTGTCCACCAGGGGGCGACTCCTCTGGTTGTATAGAAGTCTATGAGAAAATGACTCTACTTCTCTCTTGATTTATTACCTCAGTAAACATTGTAAACATGAGTTTATGGTCTCAATCTCTAGTTTCAAGTCTTCTTCAATACAGCATGATGTTCATTTAGTACATGATGGTCCATTTAGAGTCAAACAGACCATAAAGCAGGGGATGCTTTAGGGCGGCTGACTGACCTTGGGTGGTTTGAAGGGATAATCTGTGGGGAAATGAATAGTCAGGAAAAATACTCCGCCCTGATAGGGACTGTCCGGCTGCAGCAGAGAAAACACACAAAACACAGGTTATACATTCACAGAGCATCACTAGGAACAGCTGTGTGCATGTTAATACATTTTCATAACTGTGCTGCACTTTATTTTACTAACAGTTTACAAATGTACAGCTGTACGTCTTTACTTCTCATTGTGCATAGACATTAAATACAATTATTAATAATAACACATTAAAGTTTATTCACTTTGGAATATCTCTACACCACAAGTACTTATATTAGTGTTATATTATAACTTATGCACTATTTATTTGTTTATAAATTATTATTTTCTCTTTGGGTTCGTTTGTCTGTATTTATATCTAAATAAAAAGCTGTGCAGAAACTCACAAAAATTAATTTCTTGTGTCTCGTCATGAAATGATGAATCTAACACTGAAGTCAGAGTGGATTAATACTTACAGGCCCCATAATAGTAGCTTGCCAATGAAACACTGGGGACAAAAAGAAAAGAGGGTTAACATAGAAATTTGCCGAGTCGGATGAAAACAAAATGTAAAGAGTGAAACCGTCTTACTGTCTTCACCGACGGGTCCAGCGGAGCACTGAGCCGGAGGATCTCTGGACAGATCGGTCAGCTCCTGAAAACAGAGAAGAAGAAAGAGAAGTTTAAATAAAGAAGAAGAAATTAAACAGAGATTAGGATCCTCGACGTCAAACACCGACTTTAAAGTCTGTAAAATAATTTAAATAAAAGGAGGCGTTTACCAGTAAGATGATATAAAGATAAATAATCAGATTAATTATCATCCGTCTCACTGAAACAAACCACTTAAAATCACTTAAAATACGCGTTTGCGGTCCGTCTGCTTTGTTTGTATTTTGTTCTCTGGACCGCTTCCTGTTTTTAAAACGTCAACAGCTAAACTTCCAACTTTAAATATGACCTGGGGATTCACTGATGCAGAAATACATCTTCAGAATTAATGACGAACTACTCGTTAAAGAAACCCTTTTTTTTTTTTTTTTTTTAAATTGTCATATACACATACACGAAATGTGTCTCTGCATTTGACCCATCCCTGTATATAGGGAGCAGTAGGCTGCCAATGACAGGCGTCGGGGGAGCCGGGGGTTCAGTGTCTTGCTCAGGGACACTACGACACGTGACAGTCGAGGATCGAACCGTTGACCCTGCGGTTACCAGACAACCCTCTTAAGCCAGTGAGCCACGGTATTAAATGCAGATAGTTACGATTTTCTGAATATCTGAGGTTTTCATCAACAGTCACTTTGGACGATTCACTATTTGTGACATATTATTCATCAAATGATTGGCACCAACAGTTAAGCAGCATCACCACAAAGAAAGATGTGTTTTTAAACATGAAGCTGAACTTCTATGTCTGTGTGAACGCAGCATTAAAAACAAACCGACACACACGAGGTCATTATTGATGTGTAAGCACAACATCTATTTTTACTCAGAGTTGTGTGGACAGAGCAGGGTATATTGGGGGGGGGGGGGGTATTTCAGGCCTGTGTTAGTCTGCCTGCCTGCCCCAGCGCCCCCCCCCCACACA